TTTTTTTTTTTTTTTTTTTTTTTTTTTTTTTTTTTTTTTTTTTTTTTTCCTTCGTCTAAATTAACTCCCAGCGCGAGGCCAAGATGTGACTACATTTTTCAAACGAAAAACCATTGTTTCTGGCCTATTTTGGAGATAAAATTCATGTCATCATTTTCCCTTTGCAGAAAAGTGATTTTATGGGGATCCTACAGATATATTAGTTCCTCATTGTAAGAAGTCCAATTGAAATGTGACCGATCATCGTTTTTGTGGCGAATCCCGTTTGATTTCATTTGGAAATGGAAACGTGCCCTCTCTAGCAGTATGAAACCTTACGCTACTGACTTCATGAGGCGGAAAGGCGTTCTCAGTAAATATTATGTAAGCGACTTCTAATTTAAAATTCAAGATGTGCAAATTTTACACTCGAAACCCGAAGACTCGGGGTTAGAGATGGCACTCCTGTCACACACCATGCGACTCGGAAGAGGTAAATATTTAAAGCGTTCTCGGGTAAGTTTGCAGTGGCATTACCTAAATAGCTATGCCAATACGCCCAAAGTCTAATGTAGTGATCTTCTGTTACAGAATTGGAGCCAAGTTTTCCGTACAGAGATGTTCAAATCAAATGGAATGTTGACGTCAAACAGTTCTACGAACTCCAGTCTGAAATCGGCAGGTTAGTGACCGTTTCTTAGTACATTTTGAGTTTTTATTTATTTATTTATTTTTAAATTTAATGCATAGAGGTGTGAAGCGTTCAGCTGATAGAATGCAATAAAATCCAAACTTTAGGGTTACTATAATTGCGTATGCGTATAGTTTTCACATGGTTTTTTTTTTCTTCTTCTTCTTTTTTTTTTTTTGTATACTCTACACGTGTATACATTGTTGTTACTTTCAATGATAGCGAGGGAGTCTTCCTTTTACGAATTAATACCAAAATGGAGGAGTCTAAATCCTTCCGCACTTTAAAATGTAAACTCAAAAAAAAAATAATTTGCTTTCTTGTAATAAAGGTTACAAATCAACGCAGAATGTCATATACTGACCATGCTTTATTATTTTCAAATGGATGAATGCATATGATAGTCAAATTACGTCATTTTGTGTGTTTTCTCATTCATTTCACAACTATATCACGTGGCTATCATCGCCGATGACCAAAACCACAATATGTTTACCACCAATTCACTTTGCCTTCTCCTAAAAAAAAGGGAAGAAGAAAACAATTTCAAAGCCCTCGCAATAGCCTCACATTCTCCGAGTTTAGCAAAAAGGTGCCCAGAATTCTTTCTCACTCAGAAACAAATAACTCACCACTGATTTCTCTTCTCGAATAAGAGCTTTTACAAACGTATCCATGTATTCGGTTCCTCTCAGCTGAACGCAATCCTGTTATGATGCGTAGAATTTCGTTGTTTGTTTCCCCAAGATTCTGGCAGCACGGTCCGTTACAGACGTTTCACGCTTCGGAACAAAATCAGCATAAACAATACGACGCCGATTGCACGACGGGCAATTAATTATTTTTACGACATTAATTACGAATTAAACTTATTATTTCGAAAGGTAAAAACTTCCGCATTGGCAGGAGTCATCTCAGATAGATTTTTGAATGAAACGCCCCCGCGCGCTGCCACGGGAATCTGAGAGTAGCGACGCATGTTTTCAATATACGTGCGTTTAAAGCTGAGGTTTCACAGACAGCGTGCGACGCGAGTTGCGCCCTCGCGGCTTCGCGCGATCGAGTGTGATTATTTAAACCCACCTGCCAATTGACCACTAGACAAGGCACGAATTTAAGCAATCTGATATATGTTTCTTAACCAGAATTTTACGTAGAAGACGATTTTTGCAACGAAAATTACTGAAACTAATTCCTAACGAAGATATTAACGTTTTTATTTCACATTGGTCACAAGGAACTCAAAGCTCTACTTGAGTCAAATCGCGCACTATAATGGTTTCAGCAAGCTCCTCAATCGAGCAATGTCATTTCCCATCATGTGTTGTTTAAACCATGAAAAATTTACTATAGCTGAGCCAAAGCGTCAAGATTGAGGTTTGCAGATTTTTATATCGCAGAGACTGTCATGATAACGTTCAACGCGCGATGTGAATCACGTAGAGCATTGAGTTTTTATGAGTGGGTGGTTAGAATTCACGCATCAGGAATCATTAAATATCTTCGTAAGGAGTTGATTTCGGTAATTTTTGTTGTGCGCATCGTATTTTACGTGAAATTTTGGTTCAGAAACACGTATCAGAATGCTGAAATTCGTACCTTGTCCAGTGGTCCATTGATGAATCATTTTCGACTGATCTTGGTCCCTATCTTTGCAGGGTTGTTTATCGATCAAAGTCGTGGGATAACGATTCAACATTCCTCCAGCTGCTGCCTTTGCAAATGGGCTTCGCGTCCCAAACGTTGGTGACGGCGGAGAGTATTAACATTTTTGCACCCGGTCGCATGAATTTACCGCGCTGGCAATTTTATGTCGTGCGTTGTCTGTGCAAAAGCGGGTGTCTATTCAAAAGCTGTTTGTTGGTGTACTAAGTTAGATCGTCCTCGATGAAATGAGGGGCTTGGAGCACGAGGCGCATAAGCACAGTTTTTCTCTATTTTGAGGAATAAGTGTTTGAAGTTTCGAAATTACATGGATCCTTATGGTGGGAAAAAGTTCAAACTGACTTTTTGCTGCTTAGAAATTGGAATTTGGGCTGGAATTTTTCACAGAGTATGCATCAGCACTAGTTTTACTTCAAATCATTAATAGCTAAATGTTTTCAAAAATTATACTTATGTTCACCATACGTAATTACCCAAGAAAAAATAATCGGCTCAGTTGAATCTCTCAGTTCGAAAATAACCCAACTCGGGTTTTTTATGGTGTTCATTTCTTCGCGCAGAAACACTCTCTTTTCTGGCTGTTACGCAGTTTAGATTGTCTCAAGTAGTAACAGTTAGAAGTAAAAACATGCTTAGGGGTCTCTCAACCGCCTCATTGCTCGGCGATGACGGCGCAGAGATACAACTATTCGATCTTGATGGATGTCCATGTTGCATCCACAAAATTGAAGGCGCGAGGCTTGAATTTGCAGTGCTTCACTGTATGCTGCCAATGAGATGTCCCTCAGATTCTGTAGAAAAGTTAAAAACGAAGCCTCTGGGAAGTCTACTCACACGGCTGCATCTCCTCCTTGCAACAATCACTGAAAAAAAAAAAAAAAAAACACATTGGATCTAGAGTCCAGACTCTTGAAAACATTGACAAGAAAAAATACTCTTGATTCAATCGGATTTTTGCTTGAATCAAAAGGAAATCCGCTTAAATTAAGAGGCTTGGTTCTTGATTTAAGCTAGATTCTGATTGAATCAAGAGTACTGTCCTTGTCGATGTTTTTAAGAGTCTGGACTCTGGATCCAATTTTTTTTTTTTTTTCCAGTGATGCAACAGACGCATTGCGCATTTGATAGAAAATACCAGACTCGTTCAAAACGCGCATTGTGATTTTTTGGGATTTTACCGATAAAAAATCTATTCACTTAGCTGTGTGCTGTATCTCTTGCGTGCGAATGACCCATTCTATAGTAACTTGAAAGAAAATTCACATTTTACAAAAGAGAGAATCTGGCAACGTTCGATTGGCCATACGGCGTTTTTACCGAGCACAAATCTGCAGTCTGCGCTACTGACCCAGCGGACCCAGGAAGAATGAGATCACACTGCGGGTCGTACTACGTCGGGACGCGAAGGAAAAACCACGAACGCGCATTCGATTCTCGAGAGACTTAAACGGTTTTTGCCGAGACCCGGCGTCGGACGGTTATGACACGGGCGCGAATGCCTGGAAAAGGCAGAGTGAGGTTATTCATGCTTGGAATTCGGATCCGACGGCTGTAGCATAGCGTCCGCATGTTTATGAGTTAAAAATACCCCCGTTGAAAATGCGCGGCTAAACTATATTTAAGCCTCCGTCGCACGGTGGAGCGAGCCATCCAGTGAGGTCGCACATGAGATTCTTGGATAAATAACTGAAAAATTTAGATTTTTATTGAGTCCATTCAGCCCATATATGCCCAAAACTATTTTTTTTTTAAATTTATTTTTTATTTACTTGTTGTTTTTGACGCATTGGAAAAAAATACATCGGATCTAGGAGTCCAGCCTCTTAAAAATATCGACAAGAAAAAATAATCTTGATTCAATCAGATTTAAGCTTAAATCCAGAACCAAGCCTCTTAATTTGGAGCGGATTTCCTTTTGATTTAAGCTTAAAACTGATTTAATCAAGAGT